CACGATTATTCACAGAGGTTGACAGTTACATAACTGCCAATCCTTAACTACCAAACTAGCCGTTAGATTACCTAACATTCAACTAACTTAACTGTCAACCATAACCATAATTAGCTTAATTTTAACAGTCAACAGATAGGGATTTTCTGATTTTTTTTATTCGGTGAGCAGAACATATTGATGATGTAGTAGGATATTATTAGACAACACTTACATGGCTCAAACCTACTATCACATAATAGGCATAATTACAGGGACGGTTAGCCAAAAATATGGCAATTATGCTATCAAACTACATATTATGAAACTGAAAGTATTTCACTTGATTTCATTATATATGGGCTTACAATATATAGGCATTTGGTGCCTATATTTTAGAAAACAATCATCCCATTTATTCAAGTAAATCAATCCCTTGATCATGGGACTTACATAATCTCAACCCTCCCCGTCAAGGTGGAGCATATGCATCCATCTTGTCACAAATATAAGTTATCCAAGGACCTTGTCGAAATTTAGTGAAGATATTAGCAAGTTGATATTTAGAGTTGACAAAGGAGGTTTATATTATTCTAGAGCGGATATATTCTAAGAAAATGGTAGTCAATGTTTATATGTTTCGTCCACTCATGAAAGAATGGATTGGCGGAGAGATGCAAAGTTGTGATTATCACACAGAACTTGATTTGTTTTGGGGTTGCCAAGGATGCAGGGGAACAAGGATTCCATTATGGTGAGATGTCCCACTTCACAGCATGCAACAAAACTAGTTATGCTTACAATACTGTTGACTTGTATATTAAGAAGATCTTTAAAATACATGGCATTCCCAAAAGTATGGTAAGCGACATAGATGTCAAGTTCATGAGTCATCTTTGGAGGACCTTATGAAGGAAGTTGGGAACTATATTAAGCACCTCACTCCCAAACCGGTGGATAACCAAGGTGAAAAATAAAACATTCAGAAATATAGTTAGAAACCATGTGGAGAATAATCTAAGAGATTCATGGTTACCCTAATTGGAGTTTGCTTACAATCAGTCGATTTATCAAACAACAGCAAGAGTGCATTTGAGTGTCTATGGTTTGTAACCAACTGGACCTATGGACTTGGCCCCAAAAACAATAATTAAGAGCTTTAGTGGAGATGCTGGAATGTTGGTCAAGAGATCAATAAGTTTCATGTAAAAAGTGCAGGCAAAGATTGAAAAGCAAAATGTTCAACGCTAAGCAAGCCAACAAGAAGAAAACACTCGTGGAGTTCACCCCCGGATTCTTAGCATGTGTTCACCCAAGGAATGATCTATTTCCTCCAATAAAAATTGAGAAACTGAAACCAAGGGTAAACAAACTTTTTAAAATACCGGAAAGAATTGGCCAGAATGCTTATAAAGTTGCATTACCCAAAGAATACAAAGCATCTACCAACCTTCAATGTCAAAGACCAACGACTTTATCATAGAGAAGACTTGAGGACAAGCCTTCTTTTCCCAACTCTGGGGGATTGCTGAGAGTGTAGTGGAAGAATAGTTGGACTAGTGTGCAATTGTGTGTTGCAACACCGGTATAACACTTGCAACATAAGCCAAGACCATTAGCAGAAACTCTAATTTGAAGAATCAAGAGGTGTTGATTTTATTTTATTCCCTTTTCCTAGGAAATTAACTTGTATTCAAGTTTTCTTAGCAAGTTGATTTTATTTAGTTTCCTAAGTTTGTTGGTCCGAAAGATAATAAGGCAAAAAAACACTATGGAGGGGGTAAATACAATAATTTCGAAGATTAATAATAGATTTTTTCACTAATTACTCAATATACAAATTCAATACAAATGTTATGGGATGAAACAATAAATCAACAAGTGATAGATTGCCTAAACAGTTTATACCCTTTTGACAAATGTAAACCCAGTCTTACAAATGTCCTCAATCAACCTAGAATGAAATCTACCCCAAGTAGTGTAGATGTCATAAGTGCTTGAAGAACTTGTAAATCTAGAATGCACGAAAACCATACTTAAAAAACTTGTAGAGTGTATGCTCGATGTATTTTGCGCAAGGATTACATTCCCCAAGACTAAAGCGATGGAAAGGGGGATAGGATGCTACGTGGCTGAAGTCCACCGACTCTAGAACAATGATGGGAATGTTGGACATTACCACCCTTGCAGTCTTGTCTATTTTGTCGAACTACCACTTTTTCGGCAATGACAGTGTACTAATGTCCTTTCTGTCGTATGACTAAGACAATCATCAACTCATCCGACTCCGGTACTTGCCTTTAGCATGAGTTGAGATGTGAGTTAATATGGGCTTCCTACTAATATCGTTGTTCTTGACTTAGATAATCATCTTGTCACCTTAGGCCTTGAGCCATTGATGACTTTTTACTTCATTATTTGACTTACTGAGTTTGGTTATCTGGTTATATTTCTTTGTTTTCCATCACTTTGGCATGTATAAAGAAATATTATGACGCTTCTTTTCCCAAGTATTAACTCCACGGCCTTGACTATAAACTACCTGTTGGTTGTAAATTGTGTTTAGAACTCCCTTGCTGACGAACCTTTACCTCGACAACATGTAGGGCTGCTCGAACAATGTGATATCTAGCACCAGATAACCGTCCAGGATTGTTCTATACAAAGATATGGAATTCTGATTTATTAGCAAACAGGCGAAGAAATAGATTCATCATCCCACTGGTATTAAGTATTTTAATTCAAGTTCTATTCTTTCTAAGAGGTTGAATACAATAACCCGGTCCAAGGTTCAATATTAAAAAAAAATCAGAAGTTTTTCCTTCACTTACAGCTAGGGCCCCGACTAATCCCGACGGGTTTGGGGAACCCGTTGGGTGTCCGTTTAGTAAAAACAATGTATTTTAAAATTATAATTATAATGAATTGTCACTACATCTATTACAAATATTGAAAATCAAATATATTTGTCATTTAATAATAAACGTATACATACATACATACATATATATACACACACAATATACATATATCAAGTAAAATAATAAAAACTAATCGAGTTTGAATTAGGTGCAGGTAATGCCATCTCCGACCCTGCTTCGAGTATGAAAATAAATCCTCGTCCCCGCCCATTACCCGTTAAACTGGGGAATCTGTGCCCCGTTAGGGTCACGTACCCGCATACCTGCCCAATGGGTAAAATTTCCATCTCTACTTTCAACGGCTAACCTTCGACAACGGTGGATGATCGGTTAGGGAATGAGCTTCATTGTTAGCACACCCATGAGATGCTGATGCGGCTAGTCATCAACGGTAATGCCCAACAGCAGCACATTACAACAACCCAAAATTAACAAAGTCTCCTATCGGTGTTTGTCCATCATCAAATCTTCATTTCAAATGGAGCTCAACAAAGTTGTTTGGATCTTTTGATTTTATTTCTTTTTCCTAGGATAGTATATTTATTCAAGTTTCCTTAGTAAGTTGACTTTATTTAGTTTCCTAAGTTGCTAGGGCCTAGGATCATTTGATTTTTTTTTCCTTTGAGCTTTGAAGGGGTTCGCTTGTTTATATAACTCTTATGAAGCTCTTTTGTAAGGCACATAATTTTTGAAATAAAAAATTCTGAATTTGAGAGTGCTCAATTTCGTTCTCACTTATCACAAGAGTCAAGAGGTGAGGACCTTTTGCGTGGCGTATCAACATTGTCCTATGTAAACCCTCAGTTGGCCGTTAACTCTCAACTACCCTTCAATGTCGTATCATTTAGTTATACTACATCCCTATAATTTATGTGTTTCTTGCAACCTTGCAAAAATTAATGCCCTTTCAACCTCAAGTGTTTCTTTGCCCCCGCCCTAGTATCATTCACCTTATTGGAGGATTTTTTGCAAATAATCTTCCATGTGCATACCCATAACATTTGGGCACTACCCCCATTGACAAGAGCATCAAGAGAAGATGGCCAAATGATGAACGGACATGTTCTTTCAGATTCAACCGGGCAAGAGACGACGAACAAGGCTCCCAGCAAGAGTGGTTCAAAAATCTAAGAGGGAATGCAAGTGGTTGAAAACGGGATGCCAAGAAAAAAGGATATGAAATGACAATATTTCCATAATTAGTTATATAGGAGATTAGTACATAAAAAATAGTTGTGCTTGATTTAATTGTATATTGACCACATGTTAAAATAGGAATATTTGAGAGATGACCAACCTATCGAACATGAACCAACCTTTTCATTTGTTAATAATTAACTTCATCAATAATCTTTTCCCGTTGCTAACAGTCTATGCTGTCAAAATCGCGATATATCGCCGATATATCGCCGATATATCGCCGATATATCGGATATCGCTCGTAGGAAAAAAATCGGACATGAAATATCGGTCAAAATATCGGGAACGATATTATCGGCGATATTTAGCGATATTTTAGCGATATTTTAGTGATAAAATCGGTCCGATATTCCGATTTTTACAAGGGTTAAAATTTGGCACAAGCACAATAGTCAAAATGGGTGATAGAGAAGAGAGACCTGTCGCTGGCTCTGGCTCTGTCGTTGGCTAAGTTGCTCTGTCGTTGGCTAAGTTGCTGTCGCTGGGCAGTGGCTTGGCTATGTTGTATCGATTACAAGAAAAACAGAGGAGATCGAGAAGAGAGACCGAGAGAGAAAAGAGAGACGATGTGAGAAGAAGAAGTCGTAGACAGTACTGTTGAGAAAGTCTTATTCAGACCTAATTTACTAAGCAGCCCAAAAAATAAGGCCCATGGAATWAAAAAAAAGCCCAAATTTTAACCCTTGTAAAATTTTTATGTTAACTCTAATTAATGCATATTATATATATAATTCTAAGAAATATTATGTTAACCGCTATTTCCGATATATCACCGATATAACCGATATATCGAATATCGGTCCTGACCGATATTTTGTATTTTGACCGATATAACAGCATAGCTAACAGTATAATGATGCACAATTCATATAAAGATGTTAATAACCCAAACTCGTTTACCTTTTCATGCATCGATCGTGATGGAATCCAGGCTCCGACGTCAAGGTCTAACATCTCAACAGCCGAATATAATTCATTATCACTCCCACCACCAACTGCATAAATCTTATCATTCACAGTAGCACCGGCTAGGCTTCCCTTTCTTGTATTTAGAGGAGGGCGAGTAGTCCATTGATTCACAAGAGGATCATATGATTCAACTTCACATAATTGAGAAAATAAACAAATGTTAGTAATAGCATGATGCATATACATATATATGTGTGTGTGTGTAAATGTATACATACATATATATAATCTGGTGAGAACCACAAAAAGATTACAAACTCTAGGCATGGCATGGCATCAAGGTCAAGCCTCAAGCCTTGATGTGGCGTTTTTCAAGGCTGCAAATTTGCATGTTATATGTATATAATTATAAATATACATATATATTTTCTATTTATTATTCAATGATAATGACATTAAAAATTTACAATTGTATCAGAAGACAAAAAATCATGTGTTAGTATTATATAAAGAGTATGTGATCAAATATTCAAAATGAAACTTGGAAGTATTTTACAACTTCGTTTTAGCGGTGACTCTATGACGTATGGTGTATGAATCCATGAAATTGTGAGTGGTGTGCTTAGGTAAATCCACAAAAGTGTAAAATCTAAAGTTAAAAGTGTAAAAACACAAAAGCTAAAAAATTATTTTTTTTTAAAAAAATTTAAAAAAATTGAAAAAGATCACTCCTTGTAAAGAACATACGCCATGGCACGTCTCAAGGCGCCATGGCATGAGCCACACCTTACACAAACACTATAGGCCTTATCATAACGGTGGAGATGCGTCTTATGCCGTGGCGAGCCTTTTAGAACCCTAGTTACTTCACATGATATGTTTCCATCTAAGGCTAGAATATAAGGTATTGATCAACATATATTTGTTTCACAATGTGAAACTTCTTTACGTGTTATGAAACAAAAAACACACATAAAAAAGTTCAACGTTGTGAACAAAATATATGTTAATCAGTACCTTAAATCCTAGCCTTAAATAAAATATATCATGTGAAATAATACCTTAAGGTAAAATTATTACAGTTCTCAACCTTTTTATGGTTCTCATATGATTTTATATACATATATATATGAGTGTGTGTGTGTGTGTTTGCACGCACGCATGTGTGTTAGAATATGTGGAACCCCATTAGATTGCTCTCCAGAAGAGCCTTTGAGGAGAAAAGGGAGGTTCCATCATATTTGGAGAAGAAAGAGTCCAAGTCTAGTAGATGTGGGACTCTAACACGCCCCTCCAACAGAGGCTAGACACTAGACAGACACATATCGTCCCCAAGTGTCGAGAGGGTCCTAGACATGATAGGGACTAGGCGAGTACAGATTGCTTAGAGTGTTGAGTCCCTAGAGTGGCAGACCTTGGGTCTAATACCATGTTGGAATATGAGGAACCTCATTAGATTGCTCTTCAAAAGAGCCCTTGATGAGAAGGGAGATTCGATCATATATAAAGGAGAAAGGGTCCAAGTCTAGCCGATGTGGGGCTATATATATATATATATATATATATATATATAAAATCAAATGAGAACCACAAAAAAAGGTTACAAATCCATGAGAACCAATCTCAACATATTGTTTTACATGATTTTTTTTTCATCTAAGACTAGGAGTTAATGTATACATGCATTTATTTTGCAATGTATTATTTCTCATTTATTTGCTTCATAATGTGAATATCTTTAATATGTATTTTTTGTTTCATATTGTGAAAGAACACTTTATTATTCATATGCATTGATTCACAGTGTGAAACACCACATGGTTAAGTGGTTCTCGCAATTCTCAACCTTTTTGTGGTTATCATTTGATCACCCCCCCATAATATATATATATATAGAGAGAGAGAGAGGGAGAGAGAGAGAGAGAGAGAGAGAAAGCAACTTACTACCTGTGTCATACCACACACCACCGGTTCCACCACCAAATACATAAAGTTCACCATCTAATATTGAAACAGGGGCATAACATCGTGCAGCATTCATTGGCTTAAGAGATTTAGTCCGATTTTGTGAAGGTGAATAGCTATCCAGTGACGAGAACCACGATGTGCCATCATATCCTCCAACAAGAAGTATCAACTCATCAGAGTCTAAATGGATATCACTTCTTTCGGGTGAACTATCCATGTGGAACTCACTTGTACTTGGTAAATTATCCAACTGGAACTCAGGTGACTTTCTTCCGTTTATAGTATGAGATTCCTCAGGAGGGACCACCATACTTTCTAACATGATACAGTGGCATTTTAGATTCCTAATTTCGTTTTCTGCTTCAGCCTGACATGTAAAGAACCATATCACAAAATGTAAGAATAAGAACGCATATGGTCTGAAGATAACCTCAGTTAGTGATGTTCAAAAACACCGAAAAATCTGAGAAACCGAGCCGAACAGTTTGATTTGAAGCCGAAAAAACCAGGTATTCACGGCTCATTTTTGGTTCTGAATCATAGGTACCCGATCCAAACCAAATATAATACATATATATTATATTTAATATTAAATACTTATATTATTATTTATTCATTTATTAACCTAAAGCAAAAACAGTAGAAGCTTTTCATGTTTTACCGCCTAATTCTCCAATAAAACTTATTTTAATCTGTAGTGTTCAGATTATTTTTATTTAGTTGTTGTGTATTTGGTTTAATCTATTTTAGTATTATTTTTATACTGCAAATGATATTTTTTATAAAATTAAGGTAACCGGGAACCAAACCGCATGTAACCGCCTTATTTCAGTTCAGTTCAACTTACTGTTCGGTTTTGTTTTCGGTTCTGGTTCCAGGTATCCACCTCATGCAGTTTGGTTCACATTTTCCTAGCTAGCCGAATCAAACCGTGAATTCCCCTACCCTAAGTAGATAAAAAAGGATCAAGAGAAAAGACCAAAGAATAAAGAATAACTCTATCCAACACAACTCAAGTTGGAGCCTAGATATCAATCATGCCATCTTGCCACATATAGAGTCTTAGTCCTCTACTCCTCAGCAGAGGTTTTATCTTGTCCACCAGCTTGTATTGTAAATATGAATTTAGCCTTGTATTGTACATATGAATAAGCTAAATAGTCTTAGAACCCATAATATGATGTCTCACAAGATGATAGTCAACCTTAATGCCCTTAGTCCACTCATGGAAAACATGATTCTTGGCTATATGGATAGTAGATTGATTATCATGTATAGCAAGTTCATCAGTCAGAGTCCCTAACTCATACACAAATCATTTGGTCCATGTTATGTCATCTTACAGGAGATCATAGCATGGTGTTTGGACTCTACACTTGATAGAAACATCTTAGTTTGCTTGTTGCAATTTGCCAAGAAAACCATCCTTCCTAATTGGCATATGAGAAACATGCGATTCTCCCAAGTTCCTCTATAGCCTATGTGTACAAACATAAACCGAATGAATGCACTCAGGATGTCCTTGTCTAAAAGTTAGATAAAGATTCACAACTAAAAGCTTGACCCTAAAGAGGTTGACGCATGAGCTTACAAGTCTATATCAAAGCGAATCTAGTACACCGTGGTCGAAAAGAATATCTAGAACTTACTTCTTTTGACAAAAAAAGTATTGCATGTTGGGATTGTTGAATATAGTATTCAATGTGGGAGTTTTGTCCCACATAGGAAAGGAAGTGGAACATTATTGCTTTATAAATGCTATTCTACTTGGTTTATCAAAATAAAGAATGACGGGTTTATAGACTTTGGGCTTGGTTTTCAGCTTGGTTTGGGCTTGCATATTATAAATTTAATGGGTCAAAAGATAGCACTAGCACGTTGCACATGTGCGTTTTTCATAAAATCGATTTTTTATTTTCAAAAAACAGAGACTACCGCGACTTTTCACGCGGGTATGGTCACCGGTTAACCCCCGTAAGTCTCTGGAATCTCGAACAGTGCCTCCTGCGGTTTTCTCCGCGACTTAGGTTGTGGGAAAACCTGCGTAACTCATAACTCACTGTATGACGAATTTTTTTATCCTTTTTGACCGTTCTTTCTGTTGTTTATTTTCTAAGACATGTTGATAAGATTAAATGACAGTTTTGTTGGTTATAAACTGCCAACAATCAAAGCCTATAGATATGAATTAATCCTATCATTTTCTCCAACTTTTCTATTCCTTTTCCTCCATTTTTCTCCAGAAGTGATATTCATGGAGATTGAAGGATTTGTTGTGTCCTTCATCTAAGATCAGGGTCCTGGGGGTAAACTAGCCTTAACCAACAACAAATAGTAGGGGCTAATATTATCCTAAGGATAGTGATTCCAAATCACATCCTAATCTTGTTTATCTATAGTTTTCTGCTGCAGAATTTCTAACAATCTTAGGATCACATTAGATATGACTACTCTCCAAAATACAATAAAACTTCTTGGTCAAAACTCAGTGAAACTTGATCGTTTCGATGGCACTAATTTTCTGCGATGGAAAGAAAAGATGCAATTCTACCTTCCTGCAATGAAGCTTATCTACATCCTTGATCTTGAACTACCAGATCTGTCGGAACATACGGATAACGACATCGTTGCAAGGATTGTTGAAAGAAATAAACGTGGCGAAGATGAACTGCTGTGTAGAGGATACATACTCAACTCCTTGACTAATCGGTTGTATGAGTTATATACACCGATGAAATCAGCAAAAGAAATCTGGAAGGCATTAGAGTACAAATTCGACACCGAGAATAAGGGGCAGATAAGTTTATCACTTTTAAATTCTTTGAATTCTCTATGTCCGATAGCGTATCTGTTCTTGATCAAGTACATGAATTTCTTATTCTGATTTCTAAGTTTAAAATTTTGAATATCACCATCCCTGATCAATTGATTGTTGGTGGCGTAATTGCCAAGTTGCCTCCTTCCAATGATTATAGGAAGAATTTGTTGCATACCACGGAAGACTTCAGTTCGAAACAAATTCAGAAACATTTACGGATAGAAGAGGAAACTCGAAGCCATGAGAAGGATCTGAATGTTGCATCAAGTTCCAAAGTACACCATGTGAATCAAAGGAAGCCTAAAGGCAAAAAGAGGAACGCAACTTATGAGTACAACAATTCCGATCCCAACAAAAAAGAGAAAGAGAGGCATGTCTGAGGTTATATGTCATAAGTGTGGAAGAAAGGGGCACATAAGATGTTTATGTCGATTTCCGAAGAAAGAACAAAGTTGGGTAAAGAAGGGAAATGAAGAGCATGAGAAGAGTAATGAGAAAGCAAGTGTTGTTGAAGAAAAGGATCACAATGAAATCATTTCTATGATTCCGGATCTGCACATTGGGATGATACAAGGAATGCACATGGCTGCAACTACTACAAGTGACAATCGGTGGTACGATTCCGGTGCTACTGCCCATGTTTGCAACAATCGTTCTTTATTTGAAGACTATGTTGAAGCTGTGAATGGACATGACGTTCTTATGGGAGATCATCACACTTCGAAAGTGCAAGGAACCGAAAGTGTGGAACTTAATTTCACTTCGGGAAAGAATATTGTACTTACTAATGTTTTGTATGTTCCAAACATTAGGAAGAATCTTGTTTCTGGTTTATTCTATGTAAGAAGGGTTTAAAGGCTGTGATAGAATCGGACAAGGTGATTCTATCCAAAGCCGGTTCATTTGTTGGGAAAGGTTACGCCTGTGATGGAATGTTTAAACAAAGTATCAATAAAATATCTACTTTTAACTACTTTGATGTGTCATCTTTTAATGTTAATTATCATATTGAACGTTCAAGTCCTAATCTTTGGCATAATCGTTTATCGCATGTCAATTATCAAACTACGAAATTCATGTGTAAAAATGGTTTAATTTCTTACAACAGTGAACACAAAGATAAATGTGAAATTTGTGTGCAAGCAAAGATGAAAAGGAAACCATTTCCAAAGATAAAACGAAATTCTGAAATTTTAGAACTTGTACATTCTGATATATGTGAGCTTAATGGTGTTCTTACTAAAGGTGGTTGTAGGTATTTTATTACCTTTATTGATGATCGTTCTACATATACATACGTTTATTTGATGAAAACTAAGGATCAAGCTTTTGATATGTTTCAAATCTATAAATTCATGGTTGAAACACAAAAGGGAAAGAAACCTAAGATTTACGTAGTGATAGAGGTGGGGAACATTTTCCTACTAATTTCACTAGCTTTTGTAAGGATCATGGATTAAAACACCAAGTTAGTGTTCCATACACCTCAGCAAAATGGTGTGGCAGAAAGAAAAAATGGAGTTTTGGTTGACATGTTAAATGCTATGCTTGTAAACTCAAATCTGCCACTCAACTTCTGGGGTGAAGTATTACTAATTGCATGTCATGTACATGATAGAGTTCCTTCTAAGAAACTAAAACAATCTCCATATGAAATATGGAGGGGTAGAAAGCCTAATTTGAGTTCTCTTAGAGTTTGGGGATGTCTTGCTTATTATAAAGTCCCTGATCCTAAGAAAACTAAATTAGGACCTAGAGCGTTGAAAAGTGTATTTATGGGATCTGCTGAAAATTCAAAAGCTTAAAGACTTTTGGATTTGGATTCAAATGTCATAGTAGAATCTAGAGATGTTGAATTTTTTTGAAACTAATTTTAAACATGATTCTACACAACTTGATGAATCTAGTTCAACCCCACTTCAAGATACATTGGCTAATTATTCTACTAGTCATAAAAAAAACCATACCTTAAACTTCTAGTGAACCTAGAAGAAGTGAAAGGGCTAGAAAGGAAAAGAATTTGGGTCCAGATTTTATTAATTCCCAAGCTCTATCTTTTCTTGTGGAAGGAAATAGAGATATTGTGACCAATAAGATGCCTATTCTATTTAGTGTTGAAGATGATCCAAAAACATTTCAAGAAGCAATGGCTTCTAGAAATTCTGCTTTTTGGAAGGAAGTTGTTAATGACGAAATGGACTCATTAATAGCAAATAAGACTTGGGTCTTATCAGATTTACCCTGGTTCAAAGGCAGTCGGATGTAAATGGGTATTTAGAGTGAAACACAATACCGATGGATCTATTCAAACTTTCAAAGCTAGACTCGTTGCACAAAGTTTTAGTCAACAAGAAGAAGTAGACTATTTTGACTCTTATGCACTAGTAGCTAGAATTACATCTATTAGAGTACTTTTGGCTTTATCGTCAATCTGTAATTTACATGTACATCAATGGATGTAAAGACAGATTTTCTAGATGGTGACTTCGATGAAGAAGTGTACATGAGGCAACCGGAAGGATTTGTACTTCCTGGAAATGAAAACAGAGTTTGTAAATTAACCAAGTCTTTATATGGTCTTAAAGCAAGCCCCTAAACAATGGCATGAAAAATTTGATTCTGCTATTTTATCTAATGGTTTTATGCATAACTCTGCTGATAGATGCATATATTCTAAGTTTACAGATGATTATGGAGTCATTGTATGCCTTTATGTGGATGATATGCTAAACATTGAAACTAACATGAAAGGGGTTAATGAAACTAAGACTTATTTGAGTAGATGTTTTCAAATGAAGGATTTGAATGAAGTTGATACTATGTTAGGTAATAAAATTAAGAGAAATAGTGGGGGTTATTCCTCAAGTCAATCTCATTTTATTGAGAAAATGCTTACTAAGTTTAATCATTTAAAATTTATGGGAAGTTGATGCCCCCTTATGATAATTCTTGTAAGCTTAGCAAGAATAATGGTCGTGCGGTTGCACAAGTGCAATAGGTAGTTTAATGTATGCAACACATTATACTAGACCTGGTATTGCATTTGTTGTATGTAAGCTATCTAGTTTTGCAAGTAATCCTAGTTTGGAACATTGGGAAGCAATTGTTAGAGTATTTGATTATTTAAAAAGAACTAAAAAGTTCGCTCTACATTATGGTAATTTTCCAGCAGTTCTAAAAGGATACTCTGATGCTAGTTGGATCACTAGTGATAATGATAACAAATCAACTAGTGGTTGAATCTTTATGCTTGGAGATGGAGCTGTTTCTTGATCCTCTAAGAAACAAACATGTATTACATACACACTCCACCATGGAAGCTGAGTTTTTAGCATTAGCAGCAGCAGACAAAGAAGCAGAATGGCTGACAGACATGTTATTGGATATAAAGTTGTGGCCACAACCGAGGCCAGCCATTTCTTTGCACTGTGATAGTGAAGCAACATTGTCTAGAGCTTATAATAAAAGTTATAATGGAAAATCTAGACATATTAGTCTAAGACATGCATATGTAAGAGTGTTAATATCTGATGCGATAATAACTATAATATATGTAAGGTCTTGCAATAATTTAGTAGATCCATTCATTAAAGGACTTCCAAGAGATATCATTTTTGGAACGACTCGTGAAGAGGGATTGAGACCCGTTGATTAGTCAACAACAATGGAATCCCAACTTTTATCTAGGTTTTTCCTAGTTAAAAATTCAATGTGATAACAACAAATTGTTGACAAGTGACCAAGTCACACTAAGGTAAATTAGTGTAAGTTTTAGGGTGAGTGCTATACTCTTAATGTGATTCTACGCAATGTTGGAACTACACCTACATGGATATAAGTAGTGGTGCCGCTTCTAACAAAAGTGTGGGTCAACTTTTGTAAATGTCCATGAATCCAGATTGAGCACATAGCCATAATGGTGCTTTTATATTTATGAACATCATAGAGAAACAAATTTTGTATGTAGTTATTCCGACTATAGCTTATAAAATCTCGGCTCAAAAGCTATATGTTGCCATAGACTTTATTATAGTTTTGAATAACTTACACTAAGTGAAAGTTCAAATCAAAAGATACTTTCATATATGCAAAATTTGTAAAATTGAAGACTAAGTGGGAGATTGTTGAATATAATCTTCAATGTGGGAGTTTTGTAGCACATAGGGAAGGAAGTGGAATAAATGCCATACTTGGTTTATCAAAATAAAGAATGATGGGTTTATAGAGTTTGGGCTTGGTTTGGGCTTGCATATTATAAATTTAATGGGTCAAAAGATAGCACTAACACGTTGCGCGTATGCAATTTTCATAAAACCGAATTTTTATTTTCAGAAACAGATACTGCCGCAACTTTTCCAGCGGGCATCGTCGCGGGGTAACCCGCATAAGTCTCCGGAATCTCGAACAGTATCTCCTGCGGTTTTCCTCGCGACTTAGGCCGTGGGAAAACCCGCATAACTCACTGTTTGTCGATTTTTTTTATCCTTTCTGACATTTTTTTCTGTTGCTTATTTTCTAAGCCATGTTGGATAAGATTAAATGACAGTTTTGTTGGTTATAAACTGCCAACGATCAAAGCCTATAAATATGAATTAATCCTACCATTTTCTCCAACTTTTCTATTCCTTTTCCTCCATTTTTCTACAGAAGTAATGTTCATGGAGATTGAAGGATTTGTGGTGTCCTTCATCTAAGATTAGGTAAATCCTGGGGGTAAATTAGCCTTAACCCAACAGCAAATAGTGGGGTATAATATTATCCTAAGGATAGTGATTCCCAATCACATCCTAATCTTGTTTATCTATAGTTTTTTGCAGCAAAATTTCCAACAGGGATCATGAGAACTCTATCTCCAAGCATTACAGAAGTTGTCCAAGATTTGTGACAAGAAGCACATTCCAATGATCTTCGAGTCCACCGCTATGAGGACAATATCATTTAGAAAAACCACTAAGACTATATGCTCCGAATTGATGTATGCATAACACAATAAAAAATATGAAGAAAAATACGTATGGGGGCGATGAAAGAAATAACGGATTAGTCCTTGTACTTTAGGCATTATTTAATATAGTGATTGTCATTCATAGACGGTCCAAACTCATGAATGACCGACTTGGATTGCCACTTGTTGATAGCAAGCATTTCTTGAGGCAGCAAATGCTATGGTGACCGGGAACAGACATAGCAAATATGTGAATTGGTCAGTTATACAGGATTAGGTACACGGCAACGACTACGTCTCATGATGCAAGGTTATGGCTTCCCTTCACATGCAGCTAATAGCGGAGGTTTCTAGGATTTCAATATAAAAACTTAGGTCACATGCCATCTAGTCAAGGTTGAAGAAATGTGTTTACCATTGTAGGAGAAGAAACCCTTCAAACAGATAAAAGAACCATAAACTATAAGAATAAACCCTATTTATATCAAATAAATAAATAAATCATGAAAAAAGATCAACAATCGAAATCTAGTAACACATCCTAGAATCTAAAATTTAGTCATCGTCAAGCAATAAATGGTACATGCTTAAATAGGGAATTTTTTCGGTTTCTTAACAAAAGGTCTCATATTAAAACAACGATATATAAACATATAACCAACAATGAGAGTATACTTCATAATTTATGAGATATATGAATACCAGATTCTGCTCCAGAGAAACTATCTTCATTTCCAAGCAACCAATCTTGTGATTTTGCTCTGTTTTAAATGCCATCAGATCTTCCACTTTTTCAATCAACTAATTTGCACAGGAAAAAGTTATAAAAGGGTTACGTGTTACACAATTGATAAGCAAAAGACATAACAGGAATACTTGTAAATAGGTGAGACCTTAGCTATCATTGGACCTTCAGATGACTTAGCAAGAGCATCTTCCTTTTTCTCATCATGGATTGCCACCTCCTTTGAAGAATCATTGGTCATCTCATTCTTAAGAGCATTATTGTGTTCATGGCTAGCAGCAGGTGGGGCCATGAACTTACAATTTAGAGCCAGTTCTTTAAGCTTCGTGTATACAAGTTCCTTCTCATCTTTGCCCACCATACAAAGAGAATCATCTAATGACTGGTCAATCTTGCCATTAAAACTCTTACAGATATCTTTCTCTTTGTTGGCTGAACTCTTAACACCATTTGATGTACCCTTTCTGTTTGATTGAACAAGCTCCTTTTCCACTTTCTCATCAGACTTGGATACTGATGGGAGACATATACTCCATTTCGTCGAACCATGTGGAGTCAATGTAGATTGTGAATCAGAAACCGGTCGAGATGAAAATAAAGATAACAGCTTGTTTGTTTGGGAATGATCCAGCTCAAACCAGAAATGGTTCTGAGTATAGTAATTGTCCACAATTATGGGCTTAAACTGATTCTCAGTTAGTGGTTGACATTGCGACCGTATTCGTACTTGAACCTAAATCACAAGAGCAAAGTTTAATATGTAAAGTTCAATATTTCCTCCCTATTGTGTGTTTGGTATGCGGGACAGGACGGGACAGGACAAAAACTCCCAAGTTTGGTGCGAGGATCAACTAGGACAGAAATAAAGCATTGGGTCAAACTCTTCTTTGGTATCATTAAGAAAGGAACATGACAGGACTGTCCCACCAAAATAGGTGGAACAAAAATTGGAGAGATGGGACAAGATTGGTAAATTACCAAATTACCATGTCAAAATAAACCCCTAAAACTTTGCACAATTCTTTCACTCGCCTACCTCGTTCCTCCAGTCCAGTCATGTCCAATCCCGTCTGCATGTGCCAAACGCACTCTATAGAGCCAAAACTCAAATTTGATTGAAAAGTAGATCATGTACCAAGATACCTGTCGAGTACCTGAGCAGGATAAGGTGTTCTCTGCAAGCCATCACTAGTCCATGAATATGGATCTATATTTTTTTGTCCATGGCTAGCAGCCTCAAAAATGCCGTGTAATTTTCTGTCCGTATAGTTAAATAGAAACAATGGTAAACCAGGACCAATTTTTTCAACATACACAAAGTGCTGATTTGGTAAACCTATTATAATTTCAACAAGTATATTAGCAGTAATCCGAAATTCTCCTATCCTAAAAAGAGGTGAATAGCAAAAACTGATTCTAGGTCAAGTTACCAAAGAGTTGCTTTGAAAGGCATTCATTGATCGTCGTGTTCTTGGTGCCAAATATCACACCGCCTAAGTGACTCTTCCCTAAATTTCTAGTGCTTGACCAATCATGATTGGAAGTTACCAGCTCTTTCTTTCCTGCCCCCATCTTTGATTTGTAACTTGAAAAACACAATCCACTTTACACAAATACCTGGAAAGAGTTAGAAAAGAATAAGAACTCTCTGTTCATAATTGATGAATGCTCAATAAAGTATTTGAAAAAAAACAAATTTATGGAAAACGCCATAGTGGAAACAAGGAATAAGCATAGATGGGAGGAACGGAATTGGAGAGGAAGAGGGTGTGGATAGGGTTAGCAAGTCGTTAGGTAGGGTATCAGAGCCCTAAGTTAGACTAAGGGTATGCAGTTTCTTTACCTTGGTTATGTTTTTCTTTCACCTGATTATGTTTGTACATTATTGCTTACTCGTAACTAGCTTTTCGAAATTTATCTTTTATGTTTTTCTCTATTTCACGTACTTCTCACAAACCACGGTCTTCACGAAAATAGTCGCTCTACTCTTTGAGGTAAAAGTCAAGTCTGTGTACACCTTAACCTCCTAGACCCCACCTCCGAATGGGATATACAGGGCTTGTTTAGAAACACAGTCTCATGTTAGCTGCGAATTTAAACAAGTACATACCACCACCCAAATGGTCAACATAGTTAACTATATTACAAGTAGAAGTAACATAAGCTATAAAACAAGAAAAATTAGTAAGTACCCGTATAGTCCAACTACCAATTATTTTCAGAATTCTATCTCAAGCAATTTACTGCCTCTGACCCTTAACAAGTGCCCTAATTCGACTTTGGAGAGTTGCATAAACTACTTCTGACCATCAAATTTTGATATAATTAATGCAGTTGTTATAAAATGTTGTAACCACTTTAAACCATGAAAGAAACACCACAATTTTCTCAAAAATGGGTATTAAAAACATAAAATAAAAACTGTACTAATTTTTATCTTGAGAAGAGCTAGGTTTGATACCAAAAACAAGAAAAGTGGATAAACCATTACTTATTATTGCGCAGAGGGAAGAACCAATATTCAGTATCAACAAACTTAGAGCAACAAGATTAACCAAACAACTTGCCACTAGATACAACTTGAACTCAAACCTCTCCTTGGACCTCTTTGTGCATCTCACATTGAGTATACTATATCCAGATGTAATTAAAAAAACAATAAATAAACCTTTCATTCTTGAAATGCAATTCCCAGTAGTTTTAGATTCACATTGTTACATACACATTAGCAAACACACGATGTAATGTGATCATAATCAAAACCTTCTCTTCTTTATTCTTAAAATCCAATCCCCAGTAGTTATAGATTCACATTGTTACACAACACATTAGCAAACACACGATGTAATGCGATCATGCCCATTGATTAAAACACCATCAATTTCATTTCTAACAACATCCATCCGGAAGGTTAATTGAGATAACATAAAATAAAAACCCTGCCAACATAAACTATGAATTAATAGGTGAAACATTTTAGTATTGTCACATGTTTCAATAGACTTACAATAACCAACCTATCGAAAGAATTTTAGGTCGATGTAATTGAGCCTCAAACCTCCAGTGGAGTCTGCTCAAGCATCGTTATGCATCTAACAAGTAATGTGAAGATGGAAGAGGGAATACCACACATAAATGTTTGAAAGAAAGTAAAGAAACATCAATTCGAACCCAATACTCATTAGCAGAATCAAATCCTTGCTGACCTACAGACGCATATCATCGAACACATTTGATGAGTAGATTATAACCCATTAACCCTTATAAACCCACAAAAAGTTTTATCGTAGAAACATAAACTAAAACAGGAATCGCATCAATAATCAGCAACAAGGAAAACCCTTAAAACCACAACCAAGATTTATTATTTTGCGGCGAGATGGAGCCATGKAGGGAAGGAGGAAGAACCTGTGTTAATGAGGACTTGAATAATTGTGCAATGAAAAAGCGCGAAAGCGTAATGCGTACGAATATATACCCAATCATCGTAATGCTTTACATGATTGTACCTTGTTCGTTCACCCTAGCACAATGACAATGATACCGAGTTTCTTGAGAAGCGGATATCTAAATTGGCAACTATGTATTTGGTAAATTGTAAATGGTTAAAATGAATCAAATAACATAACACTTTCATAATTTTATTCAATTTGGTATTTTATTTTTGTTATTTACTAGTCATGTACCCATTGTAATGCAGCCGAATGGAATTTTTTATTTTGTTGGGTTTTAAAATAAACTTGTAATTAAAAACGCAGCGGAAAATAAAATTTTGGTACAATAATTTAGAGAGAAAAAAAAATCTAAATATAAAACACAAAACCGGATCCAATGAGACATTTAATTAGATTATAACATACCATAGGGTGTTTTAGGAACATATCTTTGATCTAGTGAAAAATCCGATGACTTAAAAATCAAACGTGGTTTCCTCTACAGTTGATCCACACACGAACATGCGTAAATCCTCCAACAGGTGCTAGCATGAAAGAATCCTAAATCTAAATATGTGTATGTGGATTAATTAATCAAATTCAGATAATTGAATTTCAATTTGCCTGACACCCTATTTATATATGTTGGTATCATAGTCACCCTATAATTCTAAATAAGATTTAATATTTTTTATAAGATTTGATATTTATCTGTAAATAATTAAATAATTATGTTTATTTACAGATAATACCCTGTAATTATCATAATTATCTTTTAACACATAGGGGCTGTTTGGCAGTTGCTGAATGGTTTTGTGCAGAATGGTTAAGTGGTCAGAATGGTTAAGAGGGTCAGAATGGTTAAGTGCTGAATGAAATATGGTTGTTTGGTAAATGTTGTCTGAATGACAACAAATTATCATTTTAACCCCAACTTTAGGGGAACAAGGTTACACTGATTCAGTCCTGTAGTTTGGTGCACCATGTCTTTGATATTGCTGTTCATAWGACTTTTTGATGCATTTTACTTATTCRTAGTTTCCTACTAAAATMTGTTTCCAGGTCATACACTCGTCAAATACTTGCAATAGATCTTTAATCTTTTCATGCCTCAAAACAAAGAACACCACATTATACAAAGCATACCAAACAGGCAGTACCGCACACTTTAACTACACCTAAAGACTCATAAAATGGGCATTGACACAGATTACATAAGGAACAAATACCTATGATTATTGAGAAGAATGAATGACATAATTTGCCACATTTTTACCACCATGGCTAACCTATTTCATTATTCCAAATTGAGCCCTAAATTTAACTAAATCTTCTAATAAGTAATAACCTGCTAACCTTATTAACCTAATCAGTGCTAAATTAATTAGAAAAGAACCTGGCCAAGAAGGGAAATAGGGCAGAAGGTGAGARGCYGAGGGCAGAATCGCAGAGCAGAGCGACGTGAGAGGCTGTTGGCAGAGCAGATGCTGGAGTGGAATCGAGAGCGTAGGTCGAGACTGAAAGCGAGAATCGAGAGGGCAGATCGACAGCTTATTCGGTTAATTTTCTTAGAAAAAAATGAAATGAGGAAGGAGGAAGGAGGAACGAGTCATGGGAGGAGGAAGGAGGAAGGAGGAATGATCGTGGCCCTGCTGCCGCCATCGTTCAGCTTATTCATGTGAGGCGAGATCGATGGAAGGAGGAAGGAGGAACGAGGAAGGAGGAACGATCGTGGCTGGAAAAGGTTGAGAGGGTTGAGAGGGCAAAAAAGGAAGAAGATACATCTGAATCATTGAGGAGCCCCCTAACCCCTAAATCATTAAGAGGATTTTGTCATCATTAAGAGGTTCTTATTTTTTTGCCAAACAGCTTATACCTCTTACCGATTAAGAGGTTTCCTCTTAATGTCACCATTAAGAGGCAACCAAACAGCCCCATATTCTATAATTATTCTTCAAGAATAATTATAGAACTGTCAATCATGACTTTTGGGTTACTTCAAATGTAAGCAAACGTATTCTTAGCAGTATTGTTGTGTAACACGTGTCGTGAGCATATTATAACCTACAGATTTAAATAAAGAATGAAAATTTATGAAAGGTTTATAACAAAACATAGGCTAAAAACAATTCTCATTAATGAATAATGTTAGAAAGAGTCGACAAAAACCATTTTTTGAGGGATCAAGTCCGAAACAATTGTTTTTGGCAAGCAAATCTTTAGACTTTTAAAAATCGATTAGATAGATTTTTTGATCAAATCAATTTTTTTAATGAAATCTAATGTAAAGAACACCGATAGAGGATAAACAATCTATACTGTATTATAAAACATTTAAGTAAACTTTTGAAAATCATTTTTAATGGATCAAGTACTATTTAATGATGTATATTACTTAAATTCAAGATTACACGTAAATATTGTATGAGTACAAGTTTTTAAAACTATGGTGATGTTTGGGATTGCTTATAAAAACAACTTATTGACTTATTCTGGTATGACACCGGTAATAAACACTTTTGAGTGTTTGAATAAACAATTTATACCGGTGTCAAACCGGTAATAAGATGTATTTAAAGAATTTAAACTCTTCTGACTTATAATAAGTTGATAAGTGTTTTTGTAGAAAAGAATAAATTGTTTCAAATAAGCAATCTCAGACACCACCTATGTTGAATTCATATAACTAATTGATAAACATAATCATATACAGGATAAACATCTTGTTTTAAATATAAATAATCTAAAATATAATTAGAATAATCAATAAGTTATAACAGCATACTTATTTGTTATCTTTATTAAAAAATTATATTATTAGACCTAAAATAAATTATTTCTTTATTAAATCTGAAATAAATTACTAGAAAAAGATTGAACTAAAAAGTATCTTTATAATATAAAAAAAACATTATTATTAGACCTAAAATAAATTATTTCGTTATTAAGTCTAAATTAAATTATACTTAAAAATTAATATAAAAAACGAGAACTGTTAAAATTATTAATTGCATTCGATAAAAAAAATTATGGGTATTCAAATTTATATTTTATTCAAATATAAAAACATTATCGTTTTCCCAAAATCATATAAAATTGTTTATAAAACGAAACAAATAAATCGAGATGTATCTCGTTGTAATGTGTGAGTATTCTTCTAGTCGATCATTAATATCTACA